TATATTTCTTGAAATTTGCGAAAATTAAAATCTGATTTTTTTCGCAAAAACGGTCGATATAAAAATAAAAAGGTCGATAAATTTATAATATTATTATATAAAATAATCGATAGCTTTGATAATCAACTGTTGGTAACCTTATGATATCATATTCCCTGTTTTTCCTTTTCTTATTGATTTCTTTCGATGCTTCCTAATTGCCCGTTATAAATGCAAAGGCCAAAGAAGAATTAGATGTAAGTACAATCAGTTAATACTTTTACGGATTGATTCTTATATAAAACAGAATGTCCAAAATAATTGATTTAAAAAAAATCTGATTATCACGTGTAACCGATTTTTTATAGATTTTTTTTTCATTTGTTTTTAAACAGATATTTTTAATATATAATAGATTATATAATTATTCCAAAAAATTTTTTTAGATATGAACTTTTCAAATTTTTTTAGATATGAACTTTTCAAATATATGATCAATGAAAATTTATAATTTTTATGTAAATTAAAACACACTACAAGCGCGTGCGCCATCTATTTTGCGCGCGCGTGTGTACACGTATATACATATATGTATATATTATTACATATATATTAATTTATATATTACATATAAAAGTATAAATATGCAGAAATTTAATAAGCTATAGCTGCAGTAAAAAAGAAAATGTCAGGTATGAAAGTTATATATGTGGAAAACGTATTACAAAAACAATCATAAATACATTATTTATTTTTATCAATTTTGAATGTGTATTGTCGTATATGCAAATATACATGTATATTAAATCTTAAATAAAATTTGTATTAAGCTTAATTACAATTAATTATAAATAAAATTATATATAGATATACGCGGATTTTATCGAATAAAGCTTGAGCTTTATTAGATAAAATCCTTGAATTGTGATGTTAAATAGTACGTCTTTATCGTGCTCCTTGTAAAATTTATTCATTGTCAGAGGGAAAAAGGATTTATATTCTTTTACGAGCTTTGTTATTAAGAATTTGTGCAATCGGAAATTGATTAATCATGTTATGTAATATGAATATCTATGTGATGTGTGCATATTTCTTTTACGCTATCGTTATAATCTGTTTTTAAGTACAGTTTGTACTAGTAATACATATACTCAGCATAAAGGATATAGATCGTTAAATAAAAATCTGAGTATCGTATTTAACGCCACCCTATCAAAGACGCTCTTGTTACATGTAATTGGTCGCTTTTAAACGAATACCAAAATTGAAGACTATGAGATATGATATAAAAATATTCCACACAGAGAGATGGTCTTTACCGTATGTCTGTATACTAGTAAACTAATGCCTTTTGTGATCTCTAAAAAATAAGGAGAGAGTTTTCGGCTATTCTTAAATAATTGTTTCAATTATGTTTTCTTAAAAAATAATCTTTTTTAAATAATTCTTGTTATATATTATTTTAACTTATACAAATGTTGAATTACAAATGTAATCCGGTAAGTTATCCTTTATTTATTTAGAATATCTTTATATCTCGCAAATGCTTGAAAAAGAATCTATAAAATGCTATAAATGAAATGATGGATGGCAAAAAAAGAGTTACCAAAATTTTTTATTTACACTTTAAATTGTACTTCAATGCTGTATCAAGATGATAACTGTTAGCAGTTGAATAGGATTTGAAAGATACGGTAGCTTCGAATCTTTATTTATTTTTGCGAAATTTTGCAGGATTTTAAAAGTTTAGGAACAAATTCTTTTAAAATTTATTCCGAACGTATTTGTTATCTCTAACAAATAGTTCATCTCTAACAAATTCCGAAAAAAATTCAGAATTATTTTTTTCTGTAATAAAATTGATTTGCCGGAATCTTTATATATCTCGGATTTTAACACTGTTCAGTATATGTATCTGTTTTGAAGTTACTTTGATTTCTGTCCGTAAAATGAATTTGCTAGTTCTTTTATCAGTAGCTCCTCGATCAGTGCTTTATCGACACTGGCTTTAAGATGCTCTTTCAGTCCTTTCTTTTTGATGAGGTATTATTAATGTATCATCTGTCTTCACACACACACACACACACACACACATATATATATATATATATATATATATATATATATATATATATATTAAAAAAAGGATCACGTAAATCGTGAGATCACAATTGCTCAGATTCGAAGGCCGCGTTATCTATGCCATTTATTATTTCAGCCTTTTGCATACTCTTCTGCGTATCTATAATCCGAGTGTTCTTCAAACTGTGGTCTGTCGTGTCCTCGTTTTTATAATTGATCATAGCTTCGGGATCCTTCTGTTCCTTCAGCATGCGATCCTTTCGGTGCTCCGTGTACAACCATCTAATTAAAAATTCATTTAATGTTACACACAATTATAATTTACAAGCTTAAAAGAGACAAATAATTCACAAAATAATGATCTGATAATGATAATAAGGAAAAGGCAATAGGAGCCAACCTATTGGCTTTTATTGTTTTTTCCTTATTTTAATTTAAAATAATCGAATTACCTACATATAGAGTGATTGTAAATTTTGCGAAATGTATGTTAAAGTAATTGGCAAAAATTTATCACGAATACTTACAAAAATGCAAATACCGCGGGCGTTGTCATGGATCCTCCGGCGATGAAAAAAGTCCCGGGTACCGTATTCATGGTCGCCGCGTAAATAGCGCTGTACATGGGTCCGTAAATAAGCGGCATTAAGGACTCGCACACACCAAACAATGAATTGACTTTACCTGTGAAATTACATAATGTATCTTAACTGCCCGCAGAGTATAAAAATTGTGTATCAAATTTTCCTCGCCGGATCGTTAGTCTAGCAGGAAAGCCTCGTTAAACTTTGTTCGCGATGAAGGAAAAATTAGCACGATCGCAATGTAAATTGTAATTTGGTGTCCAAATTATTCGAATTACGCGATTCCGGAAAGCAGCTTGAAGGTGAAGACCGAGTTTAAATTGAAAACACTATTAAGCGGTACTGAAATATTAGTATAATAGTCGTAATTCTTATATTTGTAAGCTCATTTTACAAAAGACTTCTGTTCATTTTAGTTGCTTCTTCAGCCATTTATCAGCTAAAAAACTATTCTCTTCAAGTATTTTGCACAGAAAGTTGCAAGATTCATTCTAAAGCGGCATAATAAAGTCATTAGAGATGGCAGCGTAAAAAGTACCATCTTGTATTTGTTCTCGCTTACCGAGTTCATCTGTAGGCACGAGCTTGGACGCTATTGATCGCATGGCAATAAAAGATGTACCGTTTACGATCTCCACAATAGCAGCTGAAACATGTAATTATAAATATGTTATTTGTCGGAAAATGTTGGAATTGTACATGATATATTTGACATGTATATAGTTGTTACCCTGATGTTAGCCGTTTTAAAAAGACTGACCTACGTAGACCATCCAAGCACTTGTGGCGAACGCGTAGACAAAACTTGCTAAAATTTTACTCATGCAGCTCATGATACCCACAATCGCGTCATCTATTTTGAGGATGTGACTGAAGATACCGACGGAAATCGCGGTGCCTGTGTATAAGAAGAAAATTTCTCAATTTTCTTGCAAAAAGAAACGTTATTGCTATAACGATTTCAACAAAAGAAAATTAGCAAACATAAAGCATTGTAAATTACGACGGGCCGTTAATGAAAGAAAAAATGTTTGAAACGCAAGTGAAACTGGATTGTATGATAAATTTACGTGATCTACATTGACAAACAGAAAGTTTTTCTCCCGTAAATATAATCGTCGAATACGGTAAATGCTAAAATTTCAATTTGGCAATCACAAAATAATTATGAATTTCTTTGGTACTCTTTATGTGCATATATTATCATGCGTTTATTAGCAGTAGTATTTATCATTCTTTTTATTGCAAAATATCTAATATTTTTTAACTATCTGTATTATTTATTTACAATCTACAAACAATTGCATTTTCAAGGCAATCTCTATTTTCAACGATCCGTTAGAATAAAAGAGACAGTCAGTGATTCCGCTTAGCAACGATATTCATTCTTACGTAAAATACATTACTCCTTGAACTTTCATTGGTTTCATAAATAGAAAAAGACTTGATTGTGCAGCTGAGTTACGAGGATAAAATTAATGGGGATATCTTTAGTTCGCGCGAAATGATCATAGGAGATTACTTCGAATAATCATTATATTACATATGTATTTCTACACGTACTAGTTGCTTTGTCTTATATTTCTATTTTAAAATTAGCAGCGATATCAATGAAGAACCGGAAGTGTATTACGTGCAAATATTTTACGAGCGTCGACATTGAGTTTCTTCTTGATAATACGTAACATTTTTATTTAAAGTGATTTTCTTACCAATCAGATTAGTTACCATGCCAAACGTGGAAAACATGCTGAACGACACTTCGTTCCAATTGTATCGGTACCGCATGTAAAGATAGAGAACCGCCATTTCACCTGAAATAGATAGACTTAATGGTACTTTTATATTCTCATCGTTAAAAAATTTTTTTCTTTATTGCAGCAGAAATATAATAGCGAAAATATAATATAATCAATTAAGGATCAAAGATGATAAAAGTTTCGATAATAACTGAATACGTAATACTATATGTAACAATAAAAAAATGTATTGGTTTAACCCAATCTCCGTTCAATAAATCTCCATTTTTAGAAAATATGTGTGTATGTGTGTGTGTATAATTCTAGCTATATAATTATAAAGCTTTATAATTCATGTTCATTATCGTGAATACTAACGACTTAATAACTCCGACACATAATTTACTAGCGTATTTGTATAAGATTAGATTTTTATACAATGACTTCTAAGAATCTCAAAGTTCTTAATCAAGATTGTGTCAAACTATTGTTGTTTTTTGCACAAGCTCACGATGATTTCGTCATCGTATTAATTATTATATTAAAAATTTCCAGAATCTATTAAATTAATAGTAAGCGAAAGTAAATCCTGATATAAATTTAACCAATTTTTAATTTGCACTTTAATTGTGAAGTTTTATTTAAAGAAAATCTTTAATATTATGAATATTATTAGCCAAACGTCTCATTTACATTTTTGATTATAATTATTAACGCGTGAATTTATCATTTATATCTTATCTTTGTATCCTAATAAACTACCGGTTTTTATATAATTTATTTCCAACGATATCTCGTATTTTATGAGGCCATTATCGCGCTGTTAATATTACTGCAACAATATTTTGAGTTACCCAAGCGCAACGGTTTTCTGTTCAATTACAAACCATTTTCAGACGATTACATCGGCAACAATTAGACCAACAATTGCTTCCTGCAGTAATACCATCGAGTTAACTGCGAAGGTCAAATGCAACGTGAGGATTATGTAAAACTCACTCTTTCGGAAAAAAAGGAAAGAAATATTCAATGGAGATGTACAACTCGTGATAGCAGTTATAGAAACTTTAAGATTTGTTTATCACTCGAATATTATCCTTTTGGAAATACAAATATGTATGCAAATTTTCATTCAATTCTTTCATCATATTACAATTGAGACGTGTTTGCACGATATACTACAAGAATGTATAAAATCGGTGATTTTTCTCGTTAAAAATCAATGTTTTGTATATGACACGATATCCTCAACGTATACTTTCGCAAGATTATAATGAAAATATACAGTATATTTTCATATAGTAATACGATACGCGAGGACAGTCGGACTTTCACCTACGTATCCCTGATGAGCAAAGATCTGAAATTACATCGTTAGTATATAACCGTGTTTGAATCGTATTAGCATATGCTGCATGCAAATAAATACGTGATTTTGCTTGCGCTTGCTACGTGTTTGCCTACATCCATACACGTGGTTTGTTGAAAAATATTGAAATTTTATGTGAAATTTTTAAGTATCATATAGAAAGTACTTTATAAAATAATTTTGAATCAAGCGACGCGGTAGCGTCGCGACGCCAAGTATACTATTTTATGTAGGATGTCTCGAAGTTTATATATATATATATATA